AGTTTCATGTTGGATACTGGTAGTACGTCTGTAGATTTCAGCTCTAGAGGAGACACGTGAGATTACTTAAGTCTTTTTCTCATGAGAAACATCTGAGAACTTCAGATAGGTCTCCATTTAATCAAACATATGAGATATTAAAAACATTTCCTTAGTTATTTGTCTTTCATGCAGACTAATGTCAAATGCCTCCAAACCACGAGAGATCCAGTTTGCGGTCTAAAGCTCTAAGATAATGAGTGCACAAATATGTTAATTTGAGAAGGTAATATGTTCTGATTGCTCAGTTGTGACACATTATTGTTCTTCAATTTAACAGTCACAATATAGCGAGTCATAAAGGCACATTTATATGACAGCTTGTTTCCACCATGAGATTTTAAAAAAAAAGGTATTTTTTCCCCTCACAATTTTGTGTTTGTATCTCATAATTTTTTTCTTGCAATTCTGAGAAAAGACCAAATAGAATAGCAAGAAATAAACTTGCAATTGCAAGAAATAAAGTCAAAATTGCAAGATAAAAAGTTGCAATTTCTTTTTATTATTCCGTGCCAAAAAAAAAAAAAGAATTGAGATGTAAACTCAGAATTTTGAGGAAAAACATCAAAATTGTGAGACATAAACACAGAATTGCGAGAGAAAAAGTCAGAATACTAAGTTTATCTCATAATTCTGAGTTTGTATCTCATAATTATGCAACAATCTAAAAGCATCCGAGATGCCAGACAAGTTTTAAATATATACAATATATCCAAATACTGCTAAATATAAATGCATTTACAAAACTGTATTAATTAACAATATATATATTTATTTATTTAACAATAGTTTTATTTATAATAATATTTTGAAATAATATTTGTGTTTATTAGTATGCATATTAAGAATTTAATGCATAAATGCTTAAGATTAGACAGTATATCTTTTTTATATATACACTGTATATATACACGTACACACATTTATAAATTTGAACAATATTAAATGCTTATATGCTTTAAGATGAAAGTGAATTGCTTATTATATAATAATAATAATTTTTGTTATTTTATTTATTTATTTTTTTAGTCAAGTCTCTTGAGCTCCTGATGCCAGTTGCATCAACTGCTTAAACTAGTCTTAAAGGGGTCATATGATGCTGCTAAAAAGAACATTATTTTGTGTATTTGGTGTAATGAAATGTGTTTATGCGGTTTAAGGTTAAAAAAACACATTATTTTCCACATACTGTACATTATTGTTTCTCCTCTATGCCCCGCCTTTCTGAAACGCGTAAATTTTTACAAAGCTCATCGGTCTGAAAAAGCGAGGTGTACTGTGATTGGCCAGCTATCCAGTGCGTTGTGATTGGCCGAATACCGCATGCGTGACGGTAATGTTTAGCCCCTTACCATATTGTGATGATGCCCTGTCCGGCCAGAGCGATGACTCAAAAACATGAAAACCCATTATAAACGAGGCATTCGTTGCATCCAGAGGGGACATAATTATGGATTATAATGACTTATACTGTATTTTTACGCGTTGCGTTGC